TCATGCTGGCCCAGCATCCTCAACGTTGAAAAATGCCCCGGGCCGAAGTGGTTAATCCTGTAAACCTAAACTCCCCAGGGTGATTTACTAGCAACCTTACACATCTCTGCAAATCTCAACACCACATTAACAGTTGGACTCTGTTAATATGTGGTATAACTAATCCCACATAAACCAGTGCAGTACTCATCCCAACAGATTCCAACAAACCCTGGCTGGTTTGGAATGGTTCGGGTTCAACCAAATGCCACAAATAACGACTTCTGAGAGTTGTTGACATGGCACGGTATTTCTCTCTATAGGCTTATAGTTTCCAAAAACTCCTCGGCATCGCCATGGAAGCCCATCGGGCACCCCTGTTATTATTATTAGGATTATTTTATTCAGAAATCAACAAACTAAGCAACAATCGTACACAAAGAAAACAAGATACGGTTGATTCATTCTGGGATAACCCAAGAAAGCCAATTACACAGGATTTCCATTGGGGTCCCTAGGTATACAGATTGCTAGATTGCATAATTATGGGTGTGCACATGCACAAATTCTCCGGCATGAAACCGCACTATGAAAATATGAAATTTTTCACTTTGCCCAGTACAGAGCTTTGCCTATCTGCATGTAGGTGAGCATTAACCTTGGAAGGTTTGAGGTAACGCCAACAAATGGAAAAATGTCAATGACAAGGGATGCACACACACGAAATTACAACACTAGGCTGTTGCAAAATGAGATCAGGAAGTAGAAAATCTGTACCAAGAGTTTATTTTTTTGGACAATTTTAATAAAACAAATGAATTTACTCTCAAAACGTGTTTATTTCTTACTAGCATGATATTTGACCTTGAAAGAAACTTTTGGAGAAAATTCTCTGAGCATGGCAATACCGGTAGAACATAATGTCGAAAATTAATGAAATAGCAAGAAATGAAAGACGGCAAATATAACCAATCCGAGTAAAACAGAATATCATGACTCTTGTTAAGAATGATATTATCTATTTAAAATA